CGGGGCGCCCCTCGCTGCCTGCCAGGGCTGCGCTTCGCTGCCGAGATCCCGCGGGGCTCTTCCGCGCTCCTCGAGTCTCTTGGGTTTCCCTGGTGAGAGCTGCTAAGCTAAGCCTGTAACCTGGGGGGTGCGAAGGAAGAGAGGTGCCCCGGGGCAGTACCAGCTCTGCTGCGTGCTCTCCTCGAGTAGATCCTAATGATTTCTGTGCTGCAGCTCGCCCAGAGACTCAAAAAGCTCGTGGCTGGGAGCAGGACTGTATGATACTCTCCCTGTCTTGAGGAAGCACCTGTGGTCATGCTGGAAGGCCTCTGATTAGAGACGTTTTAGTTTGGAAAGCATCTGGAGGATGTGGAGAGGGCGTAGGGGCTGGGGAGCCGAGGCATCTTTGACAGGAATAATCTGCCCCACCATGGTATGTCGGTCAGTGGGTGCTGCAGTTCAGTGAGTTAACGGGACATGCTTGCTTGCAGTTCAGTGCAAGTCGAAGCCAACACGTTTCTGGACTTTGACCCACAAGCTCAGAATCTTGTTGGTCTGGCTTCTGGCTGAGCGTTAGCTGCTCCTTGCAGCTCTAACAACAGCCTCTCACTTTTTATTTCCGTTCCCGACAAAACACAATGCAATTTTGCAGTCTCGGCTGTGTCCATGACAAGAGTAATGTGTTCAAAATGACAGTGGTCACAGAGTTCCCCTTGCATGTCCAGCTGCTTTGCCTGAGGAAGGCAAACCGTCAGCAGCCGTGCTGGCATGTGGGCCAGGTGGTGTAGGAGGGCGTCTTTGGAGAACAGTTAAAGCTGATTGTCAGGTGGGAGAATTTCTGCTTAATGGTTAGATCGGGTCAGAAAAGATTAAACTCCTTGCTGCAAAAAAAGGGAAACTGAAGTCTGAAGCCGTAAACGTAACTAAGAGTGTCTTTAGGGAAGAGAAACTGAATGCTTCTGCTTTTCTTGTTCTTGTAAGAGCAAAGGATGCTTAATTTTTCTGGTGAGTATTCAAAACAAGTGTACTTACGCTAGGTGCCCTGTTTCCTTCTGACACTTTTTGCAACCAGCAGTGGCAGTTAACATTTTAAAATATCAATTTTTTCCAAGTCCTGATTTGCTCTCTCAGGGAGTCACAAAAACAGACAACCCTTCATCGTTTCTCTCCTCCCAATTGCTGGGTGATAATGTCTGTAAAAGCTGCTAAATAATTTTTAAACAAATCCGGTTTTTAGTTGCACCGTTGTAGTCTATGGAATAATTATGAAACAGAGACTGTTGCACTTCCTGTGTTACAGAATGCGAGAACCTCTTCCAGTGAATGGGACACTCCTCCTGGGACCGAGTGTCTTTGCCTGTCTCTTATCTTTCTAATGTTCTTAATCAGCTGGTAAGATCTCCTCAAAGTGTGCAGGACGCTTCACATCTCTGAGAATATCAAGGTTTTTTGGGAGCAGCTCTCACTCAAGCGAACTCTGTGCTGCCCCATTGGTTCTGCTGGTACAGCAAACTGACCCTGTTTGTTCTGTGGCTGGGCAGCGAGGGGAGGAAAGGATATTGCTTCATCAACTTTGCAACAGCATTCTGAAATCCGGGCAGGTGCAGGAGGAATTTGCTGCGTGGTTTTGGCTATCAGCCAAGGTAGCTGTATACCCTTTGGTCAGGTGCTACAGAAAGTAGCAGAGCTGGTCTGACAACCAGAAGCACCTTCCCTGTGCTTGCAGAACTCTGACATCCCCCCAGAAGGAGCAGGTGGATGCTGCAGGAAATGGAAACAAAGGTTCTTTACTGTCTTAGAGTCGCTGTGACTGCGCTTCATGTAAACATCCAGATCTCAGACATGGGCTGCACCTTTGGTTTCATTTGACGATCCTGTTGTGTGTCTGCACTCCAAACAAATCTGATCACAGTCCCATGTAGTTCAACAATGTGAGAAGAAAGCTTTGGTTCCGGTGCTGTTATGGCTACCCAAAGAGAAGCATCTCTGCTTCAGGCCTGTAGAAAATATACTGTTGCCAAAACAGTTGCTTCCTCTTACAGGAGATGTTTCCCTTGCGTTTAAAAAAGATGAATTCGGGTTCAGGGTCTGATTTTGGGAGGAAGGTGGGTGGGGAATTAATACAGAGGTAAGAGTTGCCCAGCAGTATCTTCTGGAAAACAAACTTCTGAAGAAAAACCCTCAAACACCCAAAAGTCAAAAAAAAAAAAAGTTAAGATACATGTCATTCCTTCCACCTCGTTCTCTGCCTTGTCCCCAGCAGCAGTAATGATGTTCTTTCACACTGCTGTTGAAGAGTGCTCTATTTTCTCAACTTTTTTCAGTAGATTTTACTCCTCCTGCTGCTGCATTCAGTCACTTGTCCCTGTAAGAGCGTTACACCCGTTCTTCAGGCAGCCTTTCCCCTTGCTAGAGTAGTCTCAGACAACTTACCGTGTTTGTCTCCAGCTCATGTTTATCTGTAGCTTTACTGATGATGGTTCTTGAGACGAGGAGGTCCCAGAGCCTTGTTTGTAGCACAGCTATGATGGATAGCAAAGTGTGGGTCTCTGGGGCACGTACAGGCGTCCAGGGAAGAGGCACGGGAGCCTGGGAGAGGGGCGCATCCTTCTGTGTCCCCAGTGGGGCACTGGGCTTCCTGCTTGCCCTGTGTCCGAGGTTCCTGCCAAGCTGCTTGGACTCATTCCCCAGTGCTGCGGTGCCTCTCCAGGGAAGCACTGTTAGTGAGATGAAACCTGTTGGCTTGTCTCAGCTCTTAGGGAGGTGCTTCGGTTATTTCTAATCTTCCAGGCATTTGATTTTTGTCAAATCCAATTTTCTGGACTTAGAAGCAGCGCCACAGAGCTACTCTGGTAACACCATATTAAAGTTCTTGTTTCTCTCTGTATTTACTTTTGCAAAGGAAACATTGAGACAGCTGAAACAGAGTGCGGGATGAATCCCTTAATTGCCTGCATTAATTTAAAAATACCCCCACAACCAAATCCGTACATCAGAATCTCTCAAAGTTTAAAAGTAGTTTGATACTGGGAGTCGTTCACGACTGCATCTCTTCTCAGACTGCTCGCAGGCCGTTCCTGCAGTGTGTGTTCTTCACCTGGTCTCTGAGGAGGGAAGCAGATTGTGGAGTGGAGCTCTTGGCTGGCTGCAGTGACGGCCATGAGTGGAGTTTGGGTCGCCTTGGTTGAGCACGGGCTTCTCCCGCCTTCACGCGGTCTCACGTGCTCCTGTGCAAAGTGTATTGTGTTACCATTCTCCTGTCTTTGCACTTAGCACCCTTGTGTCCACAACATTTAAAGAAGATCAGCTTGGGTTCTTGTTCTTTAAATTTCGGTATGTGTCAAAGCTCTTCGGAGCTGGACAGCCAAAATAGTTATGTATGTATGGAAATACTTCAAATATCTTAAGCCTCAGCTCTGAACTCTGGGAATTGAGCCTTTTAAAAAAAAAAAAAAAAAAATAGGATTAGACAGTCTTGTTTGCTGTCTCCCTGCTTCCAGGAGCACCACTTTGAGTAATCTCCATAAACAGATCAATTTCAATGTTAATAATAGATTTAATTTTTTTAATCCTTCCCAGAACGGCAGCTGCAGGTAGGTTGCGCCACACTCTCACTGATTCTGAAGCTTAGCAACTTTCTTTTAACTTCCATATAAAGGTTTTAATTTGTTCCTGGGCCAGCATTGTCCTTCGCTTTTGAGTTCTTCTCCCCCTCCATTGCGAAGATCTCTCCTTCACCCTAGTGCATATATTGTTTTGTTATCCCTTCATCTTCGTTTGCTCAGCCGATCAGTCCATGGTGGTTTCTCTCGCAGCATGGGCTGTCCCCTGACTGTGCCTTTTCAGGGGTGGGTGGGTCACTAGAATCAGATCCTTTATCTCAGCTGAGATCTTGTGCTCTGCACAGTAAGGCTGCTACTTCTCCATCCCACTGCAGAGTTTCCAATGATCTTATTTGTCCCTTTCTTCAGGCTTACTGTGTTGATACCATACAGGAATCCAGAGATCAACTAATTTCCCTAGGTTCTCCTACTGTGCTCCACTACTGGAAAGGGCTGACTGCAATTTCTTGTTAATCATATCTACGTGCATGGCCATGCAGTTTTGTATTGCTGGACTTCATTTGGTTTCTATTTTGTCAGTCTGGATGCTTCTCCAGTTCCTCATGGAAACTCTAGTCCTCCGTGCATTGACCTCCTGAAGGTCTGTGTAGTTCAGAAGTCAGTTTGGATTCCTATCAAATGTAGACGGATACTTGGACAAATTACAGTGATTTTAACTTGTTTCCAAAATGTCTCTAACTTGGAACATGTTTCTGTTTTTAAGCAGAAAACCAAACAAAATTTAGTTTTGCAGATGCAGCTGACATTAATCTACCTACCTTGCTCAAACCACTAGCTCATCTACAGACAGTTGTCTAATTATCCAGCAACACAAATGCTCAAGTGACCAGAACTGAGGTTTGTGGAGTATTCAAGCATAGATTCTCTATTTTATTTATTTTTGCTTGTAAAAAAAAATCACCCTGATAATGAATTCACCATGATGGCGATGCTGGACTTCTTTTTGATGGAAATGTGATGAAGAGGAAAGCAAAACAGACATTTTTGTAGACACTGACTTTCTCTGGTAGTCCTTTGTTAGTAATCCACGTGTTAGTCTGTAGCAGGCCATTCTGATGGTACTCATATTGCCAGCTTCTGAAGATGCTTGCTTCATGTACTGTGCAACTGGTCTTTCAAAATAAAGAAAAAGAGGCAAAAAAGCATCCGTGCATGTCGTATGGCAGCAGAAGCAATTTTTAAAGAAATGGCCTCTTGCTTGCTAACTTCAGAGCTTGCTTCTAGGCAAAAGGGATGGGGATTAGATGCTCTGTGTACTGAACCGAATCTCTGTCCACTAGGTTCGAGAGCACTGTGCAGGCTGGCAAACTGCAGGACCTGATCAACCGGAGTAAGATGGCGAGGTGTAGAGGACGATTCGTTTGCCCAGTCATTCTGTACAAGGGAAAGGTAAAGCTTCATGGTTACCTGTCTTAACTTAGAAAATGACCTTTCTCCCTGCTGTTTGAACTATGCAGCCATGTCTTCAGTCGGTGGTCGCCTTTCTGAATGCTGCGAAAATCTGTTGGTAGGTACAAGCAGGCAGCCTGTAGCAGTAGTAGCGTTTGCTGTCTGGGCTGCACGAATCGTCTGTGGGAGAGTCAGGCTATTTTAGCCCACCATGTCATGAGCATTGCACCAAAGAGCTAACGTTTTCTCCATACATGTGTCCCTTCTGAAGGACCAGAGATACTGGTCTTCAGAGAGGGGAAAACAACTATTGTTACTTTCTGCTCCTTCCTCTTCCCAGCAGGGAGCTCCCTGTGAATAACTTTTCTCTCTAAAGAGAAGTTTCTCTTGTCTATTCCCTGGGGAGGCAAGCTTGCATAAATGGTCTTATGAATGTGTGGGCTTGTCTGCAAGGGAATCTATAAGAAAGTGAAATTAGATTCATTTTTATGTGGATTTCTTAAACTGTATTGAAGCCCTGTAGGAGTAGTCTTATTTAGAATTTAAGTAGCCTAATTCAGTTTTCTTAGTTCAATTTAGAAATGCTGTAGGAATAGCAAAGTCACACCTGTGACAATTTTAATCTAGCTTGACTGAAGCCATCATGGGCTGAACCTGCTGACCTTTTTAACCAAGTGTGGACTGTCTGGAGTTGTACTGAGACAATCCATGGTCTTACCCACAGGAATGAGGAAATTAGGCCCAAGCAGAGTATTAGCAGAGCATGGATGTTGCTAATTTGACAGGAATTGACTGTATTAGTGAATTGGAAAACTGGAGATGAAAATGTGATTTAAAAACTAGCTGCAGATAAAAGGCACTTGGGAGTTTGATGTGTTTGGAGAACTCTATCTGGACCAGGGTTGCAGGGGAGAATGCTGAGGGGCACTAGCTGTAGGTACCAGGCATGGCTATGTAGCATGACAGCAAATGGGCCAGAGACCTGATAAGGGAAAGACTCTTGGAGCATGTGTGATTAATAAGAAGATCTTCTTCCAGCATATTTGCAGATCAGCAACACTGGCCGGCTGGGGAGAGCTCTATGGGCGCACTGGCTACAACTATATCTTCTCAGGTGAGTGAGGAGCCATCCATCGCCAGCTGCCTGGTTAGGGTGGGACAGTGACCTAGACACAAGACTAGGCTCTTCTGAGAGCAGGTGCGCAGCTCTGGCGTGGACCTGCTTGCATCAGGCCCTGCATAACAGGGCACAGCCTGAAATCTGGTGTTTATTTCCAAGCACCATACTACAGGACAGAGTGCCACACCTCACAAGAAGCAGCAGCAGAAGAACTTGAGGCTAAAGAATGAGTTATGGGAAGCATGTAGGCAAGTAAGGCAGCCCAGAGGAGACAGACTATTGATCCTCAAACACTAGGAGTGGGAATAATGGAAGAAAGAGGATAAGAACTTGCTATTGCTTGGCTAATCGTTAGGAATCAAATCCTGCTACTGGTGAGATATACTAGACTCTAGGGAAGGCTCTTCAGGGGAGTATTGGGTGTCTGTAGTGTGGGAGCTGAAGGTTGCCTTAACAAATCACTCTATAGCACTATCGGGGTGTCTTCCTGGCTGTCAGTCATGGATTTGAACTGCCTAGGTCCTTTTTAAGGACAAAGGGAGGGCAAACTGCGTTACAAAACGGGCTCTTCAGCAAGAAAAACTGGGGAATTGTTGAGAGCACTTAATGTGTGGAGAGAGGGCACCATACCATGGCCTTTTTGGGCACATGCCATGTCTAATTGAGGATTGAGTTGGTTTATGCAAGTTTCAGTTCTTATTGTCTTCCTTGCAGGGGGTTCTGATGATGCCTGGGCAGATGCAGAAGACATTTCAGAGGAAGATTCTGCACTTAGGTTTGTATGCATCCCTGGAATGGGGAAAAGGGAGTTTGGACCAAAGCTGACTGGCTAAGCCACTCAATTCTGCTCTTTTCTAGGCTGGGCTTTGGGTGCAGGCTTGAGACTATCACCAAGCTCAGAGTCTTGATTTCCTGGCTTTGGAAAAAGAGTCTTGAATGCTAATGGCTGGCTGAACTCAGTGTAACTGAAGCCTGCTAATCTATTGCCAGAGTGAAGGGCTGGAGATAGGAACATATAAAGCCATTTTAAAAGGTGTTTGAATTACACAAATGTCTTTACTTCATCAAGAAGTTCAGGCTGGAGAAATTGTTCTGTATCTTCCGTGCTTGTTGCAGCGCAGAGTGAGACGTGGAGAGGGACCCTAAGCACTAAGTTTGCAGTATCAGTTCATTGCAGTCTGACTCTGACCTGTGGAGACAAGGCTTGTGCTGTCCGGCTTACGGCTAGACGCGGTTCAGGGAAGAACTGTGGCAGTATTGTGCAGAGGATCAGACTCAACGTGGTCAGTCTTCCATGCTCGTCTTGCTTCGCTTCGTTCTGTCTTGCAGGAATGCAGACTCCCAGCTGTTCGACAAGGTCAGAGGGCACGACATCAAGCTGCTTCGATACCTGTCTGTCCGATATATCTGTGACCTGATGGTGGAAAACAAGAAGGTGAAGTTTGGCTTGAAGTGAGTCTGGGTTCATTTGTTTTTCTGCAGGTTTTGAATTGCAGCTAGTGTAGCCCTTAATATGTGAGTTGTTATTGGGCATGCACTCAGCAACCTGGGAGCAGTCCCTGGAAGAGTATTACAGCAGGATCAGTTAGTCATTGCTGTAAAGAGAACCCCAAGGTTTTAGACCAGAGAGAACTGGATCAGTGGGCAAGACAGCTGCTTTCATCTGTCTTCTGCAGTCTGAGTAGGTTTTCTCCGTAGAGCTTGAGGTGATGTGACAGTCCCCCATTCAGAAAGGGGAGAGTAAAGGAGCCCTCTGCTTTTGGAGGGGAGATGGAGATGTTTCTCATGGTATTTCTCTCAGAGGAAAGTTTTAGTGGTTTTGGGCTATACCTGTTTGTTTGGATGTGTTGAGTTAAGTTCTGCACCCTACTGAGTCGAGTCATTGTGCAGGGAGATGTGACAGGTAGCTTTTTGGGTACTAGTGTCTCTATGAAAAATACTCTACAAATGTCTGCTCTTTTCCTCTTGTCCTGTGCAGTGTGACATCCTCTGAGAAGGTGGACAAAGCTCAACGTTATGCCGACTTCACGCTTCTCTCCATCCCATATCCAGGTACAGGACTGATGTCCAGAGGGACTCCCAAGGGACAGGTGACAATCCATTTCTGGGGACTGGGAACTACCTGTGTGTGTATGTGTGGTGAGAGGACTGTGGCTTGCTGAATGTTTCCTATGCTCCCTCTGGAGAGAAGCTCTTTTAAGCTGAGAACAGTGTGACAAATCTGGATGCTGGCAGTGTGATTCAGCGTTAGGTACTCTTTGAAGTGGCAAAATAATTTCTCAGCAGTTCTAATGAATTCAAGCACAGAGAAAAAGTCACAGAGGTGGTGCTGGGGTTAAGATTGCCTTTGACACCCCAGGCACCTCCAAACTACTACTTGATGCAAAATATGTATCTCGCTCTGTGTTATGTAAAACCCCAATTCTTAAGAGTATTTTCTGGCCCTAGTGTCCCAGAGTACCACTGTAAGATATTCTCAGTGCAAGGCAGAACTGTCAACTGAGACTGCAGTGTGCAGCTGAGGTGCAGACCACTCCAGCCCGTCTCCCTGGCTATATTAGTCCCTGTGCCTAGCAACCACTGCTGGTCACTCGCTGCGCTCTTGAAGAGGAGCTGAATATTGCTGCCTGCCTGCTGATGTCAGGTTCAGTGGTAGGATTGGGTGTGAGACTGCTGTGTTTGAGATCTGTCTGCAAGAAAGGACTCTTCTTTCTCCCTTGTGCACAAAGAAAGGGAGAAAACAAACAAGACACACACACATGCAAATTAAGATTTCTATCAAGTTTGCCCTGCAGATTGGAGAGGCATACAGAAATAAGAGTATTGCTGGCTTCTGGAGCAGGTGGCACAGGTGTGTGTTGGTGCTGTATGCCTCACCAAACGTAGACCATGCGAGAGACAGTGTACCCAGGTCTTTCGTAGGGTTTGTAAAGAATGAGGAAGAGGAGATTCTATAGAGTTAAGCTGTAGAGCTGTTACTATATGGGCATCTGCATATTGTATGCAGTATTCATGATGGTCCTTCCTCTTGTGCCATCTGGGGACGGCTGCTATCTTTTAGCAGCTCTTCACTGCCATGCTAGAGGTAAACCTTATAAACTTGGAAATTCTCCCTGCAGATGTTGCCTGATTTCAGCAGTGTTGATCCAGAAGGGAATGTTGTCATTCTGGTAAATCTAAGGATCAGCAACCCTCTAGTGACTGGCCAAATACTATGATATGTTCTTATTGATGTTCCCAGGTTTGCACTGAAAGAATCTCTATTTTGTAATTTGTGCCTGCAGTTATTCTGAGATCCTGTTGCCTCAGGTGAGCGAAGCACTTGTCCGGTCATGACTGTCTAGGGTGAAAGGCTTGGGTTAAAATGCTGTATCTGTAGAAACTTTTGTGCTCTCCAGAGCAGAAGCCCTCTCTTATGTTTGACTGGTAGTTGGCATTCGTAGATGCCAGTGCTTACTGCCGTAATCCCCTATTCTTTGTTTTAAGCTGTTGTTTAATTGGAGTTAAATCTCAACTGACAGATTGCTTCCTGACTGCGTATTTTCAAGGGCTAGTCCTGTCCTTGCACAAAGATTTTTTTTTTTTTTTTTCCACCATTGGAGTTGCTTGTGACTTACAGGGTAGGAATCACTGCTTGTGTACAGTGTCTGGCACAGGGATGTCTTAGTAATGTGGGCGCTGTGGCACTGCTGGGGTACACACAGGACATTGGAAGAGGTGTTTGTGTAGCCTGCAGGCAGCCGCAGTGCTAATGGTGCTGCTCAGCTGTGACTAAGTGACTGCAGTTTGCTGCAGAGACTTCAAATAGTTGTTTGAGAAGAACAGAGCCAAAGGACAAACTTCAGGAGGGGAGGGCTTGGGGGGAAGCCTTGGAAGTGGTTGTGTACCTGCTTCCTTCAGATAGAGCAATTTGTGTTTTGAAAGAGGAGACTTAAATGTGAGAGAAATCACAGCTGCCCCTGACAGAGCCCTTTCTTGTTACCTGCAGCAGATGCCCTGTGAAAGCTGGCTTTCCCCAGGGCTCTGCCAACACCTCCTTTTGCTTGTTCCTTCTCACTCAGCATGTCAGGCTGATGCCTTAGATCTGTGCAAAAACCAGCAGCCTGGGGAAGCATAGCTGCTTGGTGAAACTCTTGTTTGAGAAAGAATGAAATCAGTCTCTCAAACTCCACATTTGCTCTGTGTTTGGAGTTTGGCCTTTGCTGTGTGAGTGTGTTCAGTGCTGAGTGCTCAGGATTGTTGCTGCTGGGAGGCCGTGCTGCACACTATACTGATGATTACTGCTCTTCTCTTCCCGCAGGCAACAGTTTTGATTGGTGTGGTGCTCTGGAGCCCAGGGCTGCCAGCACTTCCAGTCCCACAGGACACTTCAGTTCTTAGATATCAGTTAGCTGAACAGTTGTTTGTTATCTCTTTTCTTGCAGGCTGTGAATTTTTTAAGGAGTACAAAGACCGGGATTATACAGCTGAAGGTCTCATATTTAACTGGAAACAGGTACATGGATGTTGCAAAATGGAGAGCTGTGGGCTTTACTGGGCTTAAGTCTTTCCTCAGAGTTCCTGAGTGATGGTGTATGTGTCGTGCTTATTTCTGAACACAAGAAGGAAACCAACAGGACAAACAAAGCAGATAGTGAATGTACTAAATTATTCATTGTAAAATTCGTATGTAAAATAAGTGAATCATTATCCTGAGGTCCAGCATGCTTGACCTCTCATGGTGGATGTGGGTTGCTCCTGGCTTTGAATTTGGTATCTTATTGGTAGCCTCTGTTCTCAGTTCTGTCTTCGTATTCTGTCTCCAGCTGAGGGAGATGATTGAGTGGAGCAGCCCTACAGGAGTTCAGAAACAAACATGCCTTGTCCCTGGCTTTCACTGTCGGGAGCAGAGAAAAGCTCCTCTTGTCCACTAGTCCTTCTAAGAGGCTACGAGTTAATTCTTACCACTGCAGGTTTTGGCATTCAAAGATGCTTTCCTGAGGCACTTTTCTTCTAGATGCAACATTTGGCATTTGTCATTTTGTCTTTTCTGGAACTTACTGCCTTCAAGTCATGGCTTTTCTCTGACCAATTGTCTTTGGGTTTTTTCCAGGATTACGTCGATGCTCCACTAAGCATCCCAGTCTTTCTGACCCAATCTCTGAATATTGATTGGAGCGAGTACCAGGTGAGCAAAGCAGGCACATCTCTGTGGGAGGTCAGAGATTCAGATTTGAAGTTTGACTTGCTCCGGTTGCAGTAATCTGCCTTACTTCATACCATCCCAGTGGGAGTGGGACTGCAGACTTGATTGTTCAGAATAGCAGTGGAAATCCTCTACCCGAAAGCTTCCTGGCTTGGTGTGTCCCAAGGCAGCTGACTGTAACGTCAAATCTTTTTCTGTAGCTTGTGTAAAGCTTGCAAGCCGTTAGGGAGATATGTCAGTAGCAAAGATGAGGAACGTGCCAGCAAATGAGAAGCAGTGTTGCTTGTTCATTCTTAGCTAGGCCTGTGCCTGCAGACTTCCTTGGCTGTGGAGAGTCTTGAGAGACATCAGCCTTCCTTTATGTGAGCAGCAGACAAGGGACTAGGCACCTTCTTCATGGGTGTGCAAGGTGCCTGTCCTATGAGAGGAGAGTAGAAAATCCTAACTGACCGTAGCATGTCTCCATTCCTTATACTGTGACAGCATTGCAAATGATAATTGAACTCCGATGTTTGCCCAAGCTTCAGGGTTTACCGTTGTCTGTCCATACCAGGGAGCATCACCTTATTCTGCTGAGTAGTGTGCTCCATTTCATGCATCAGTGGACCTGCCAATCCCCCCAGGTTTTCTGATGATTGGCTGTACTGAAGCGTGTCATGCTCCTATGCTCTGTGGCTGGAAACACCACAGAGCTAGCAGAGCTCCCCGTGCTGGGCCAGTGTTTGTCAGTCAGTGAGGTAAATAATGTTTAAGTACCAGCATAAGCAGGATCATGGAAAAGTTAGCTTGCATTGTTGAAGAAGGACTGATGGGACCGTGGCTTGTTTATGGCTAGAAACTTGTTCACTAGAATACTGAGCAGCCAGTATTTTAAAAAGGATATTAAAAATTGAAGAGAGTCTGATAAATAGACACAGAAATTATCTGAGAACTGGAGAAGGTGCTTCAGTTAAAGCTGAAGTTCTCGGCCTGTTTAGCTAATCACAAAGGTGGTGGAGGGTTGATTTGATTAATGTGTGAGTACATTTGCAGGGAGAAAATGCTAATTCTAAAGCACTCTTCAATCTAGGGAAGAAAAGCTGCACAGGAAGCCATATCTGCAGTCTGAAGTCAGACCTTCAAATAAGGGAAAGCAGTCTTGCATGTTATTTTGGGGGGTGATCTTTTGGAACATGCTGCTAAAGGAGTTCCAAATGATGAACTGTCAGCCCTAGTTGAGGTGCTTTTCTGGGCAGAGATGTTGCCAAGTGCAAGCTTCAGGCTATATTTAGGGCAACTGAACAAAACTTTCTGATTTGTGGTATAGAGAGATCAAACTGGATGATGAGATGTTTCCTTCTGGCATAAGCACAACATTGGATTGAATTGGGCAGATAAGAAATTTCCGAAGTATGTGTTTTTCTGCCTCAGGCTGAGTGTGTTCCCCATTTCCCTGCTCTTTTGATGCTGTTCAGGCTTCACAGCAGAGCCATATGTTCTTTGTCTGACATTATTCTTAAGTGTGGTTACACACACGTGTGTGTGCATGCAAGCGCACAGCAAGTGTTCTATTGCTGGCGGTCGGGTGTCACTTATACCACTAACACTGTCACAATGAAACGTGTGTCCCTCTCCTTGCCTTTTCTTTTCCAGTGCTATCCTATTTTCCTTGAGCTAGTTCTGGCTCTGATCAGACTGCTGAAATTCCCTGCATCTTTTCACAACACAGTGGTGGAGAGTGGCACACTTGAGCTTGTTCTGATGTTTTTCACCTTCATCTCTTGTAGTGCTGGAGGTCTCTGAGTTCAGAGCACTTCTGTGTTGCTGCTGCTACTTGGGCATTACTGCAGAACTCCAGTGCGTGTCCGGAGTGGGTCAGCCCTCTGCAGACAGCCTGCTGGGGCTGTTTACAAGGGCCAGAGAGTTTTGAGCAAAGTGTGTGGTTGTTGGAATGCGCCGCTGACCGTGGCCTGCTCACCGCATCATGCTACTTGCATCACGGATGCAGCTGTAACGTGGCTGCTGAGCCTTTTGGTACAGTGCACGCATGTGGGGGGCTGCAGAACTGGGTCAGTGCTCTGCAGGTGTTTGCTGGCTCATGTTAGTCTCTCTCAGCATGGTCGGCTTGGAGCTTTGGGGCTGCAGCAAACAGGTTCTCTGCCGACCAGGTAGACAGGAGAGATGACTTTTTTTTTTTTTTTTTTTTTTTATTTTTTCTTTTCCTGTCTGGTCTCTTGTCCCAGAGTGCCTTTTGTAGAGGATGAGGGGATTGATTAGAGCACCAAAGGAGCTCTCTGTCACTGAGAAATGACCACAAGGTTACTTCTGCTTTGCTCTTGCTCTGGAAGGAGAAGCCAAAAGCGTGGTGGCCTCTGAACTGCAGAGCAGTTATTTGCTGTGGGCAGACCCTTACCATCAACATTTCTCTTTCTGCAGAGCTGGGACCTTGTGCAACAGACACAGAACTACCTGAAGCTGCTGATCTCCATCATCAATAGTGATGGTAAGGCAAACTCCTTGTTCCCAGTGGTCTAACTGGAGCAGTTGCTGTCTTCAGGAGAACAGCTGATGGTATTAGTGTCACTCTTCATAGAGATGATGGTATTAGTGTCAGTCTTCATAGAGATCTCTTTATACAGAGCTTCACTTCTCTCCCTTCAAAACAAGGTGATGGCCCTAGCATCTCAGGGCTCTAGCTCCCCTCTTAGAGAGGAACTTGCTGGTTACTTGAAGACTCTCTCTTCCCAAGAGTGGAGGGATGTATGAACACTTTACCTATAAAGTTCTACTGCTTTAAAGTTGAAGAGAAGAAACATTTGTTCCTCTGCTTGTTGCTCTTTTTTTACTGGATGTCTGTGTTTTGTGCTCTCAGCCCAGGGTCTCATTATGTGCCTATTTAAGAGCTCCTTTCACCCTCTGTCGTCACAGCCACCGCAACTCCTTGAAGGGAGGTGTATTGCTTTATGTTGACATCCTGTTCCCTCTGAGCAGTGTGACTTTGTTCCTAGCACTGTTGGATGGGTGGAGCTGTGACTGGCTCTGTCACCACGGCCAACTACAGACTCTCCTGCAATAGTTGTGTTGGGATGCACTGCGAGTTTTCTGGAGAGCACAGGAGTTGTGCTGTGTGTTTGCCTCTGCTCAATGGGTATCGGTAGGAAGGCTGGTGAGGCTGAAAAAGTGTTCAATTGGAGCAGGTTTCTCTCAGATGTGGAGATAGATTGTGATAGTGGGTTGCAACTGGGTAGGTATATGTTCTGGGTAGCAGTGATGTTCATACCTAGTGACTCCACGTCCTGAGCAGCTGTCAGGACCAGGACAGCACATCAGCTGGGACTGCTGACAGCCCAGGACACTGACCAATGTGTTGGCTGCTCTATTCAAGATGAAATGTTCTGGCTTGAGCTCTGCTCTTCAGCGTGAGCTGTGGGGACGGAGGGTACCTTGTCTCTACAGATCTGCCATAAAGAAAGGTCATTGCTTTTGTTGAAACATTGTTTTTTTTTTCCTACCCCTCCCTGGAACAGATGACAGCGGGCTCCTGGTGCACTGTATATCCGGCTGGGATCGAACGCCTCTCTTCATCTCCTTATTGCGCCTCTCCTTATGGGCTGTGAGTACCTGGCTGACCTGCTCTGCTTCTGGGGGTGACTGCTTGGAGGGTGAGTGACTGTGTAACCAGGAAGCAGTGGTGAAGCAGTTAATGTTTCTTTTGACTACTTTGGCTTCAGAGAGGATGTGAATTGACTTTGACATGTAGCCCAATGTGCTGTCCCGCCATCAGACACGGTATCACAGGCATTTAGAGCAAGCTGGGCATCTCGGATCACCAATGATGAATTCCCAAGTCCCGATCCCCAGGGCTGCTGCCTAAAGGCTGTTCTCATTTGCTTTGCAGGATGGGCTGATCCACGCATCCCTGGAGCCATCTGAGATTCTCTACCTGACAGTGGCCTATGATTGGTTTCTCTTTGGGTAGGCACACTGAGTTTTACTCACATATGCAACCCTGCACGGCAGGGGAGAAGTCTTCAGGGGGTCATCTTTGGTGTTTGCTGTGACAAGAGGGACTGAAGCCTTTTTCTACCTGGAGGCTGGGGTATCTGGCCATTCTTGACAGCTTGGGCTGTTACGCTGATTCTGGCTTTCAGCATGTGACTGAGATTCCCTTTCTCTCTTTCCAGGCACATGTTAGTCGATCGACTCAGTAAAGGAGAAGAGGTGAGTATCTCGTCTGGGGCAGTGGCTGAGCACTGCTTTTTGTTCTCAGGGTGCTTGTTTACAGTAGCAGCGTTCACTGCCTGCTTCTGGTAATACCAGTGGTCTGTCTGGGCTCTAAAAACATTGTTCAGGTGCTGGAAATGTGAGGTGGGAACCTTTCCCCATCGCTTCCTGATTCACAAGGTGTGGGAATGCTTTCCTCTCAGGCTACAGTGTGGTTGATGGGTGTCAGTCCTGCCAGTTCCCCTGCTGTGCTGTTAGGTTCAGGCCCCCGGTGAAAGGGTGCTAGGACTTGCTATTCAGCTCAGCAATGAGAAGGGATGCCTAAGGTGTGTGACTCCTGGGAGCTTGGAAATAAAACTGTATAGTCTTGTGTGCCTGTCCTGAGCTCCAGCCCTCCTGCCTGGGTGCTGCAGCTGCACGTGGCTTGCATGTCATTGCAGGCCCATGGAGCAGCTTGTGCTGGTTCCAGTGTGTGTATTTGGTGGGGTGTATCTGTGGGTGCACAGATGGGTCTGGGACGCAGTTAAGATTGGTGGAACTAATTCTCTTTAAATCTTTCACTGTTTAACAGCAAAAGTGATTGCTCTGACTATAGTTGCAGTACACTGCAATATCATTTTTGGATAGAAATCAAGAGGTGGGGAGAATATCTAACTCTGTTGCTAATCCTCTGCTCCTCAGGCTCTCACCTCAGTAGGGAATCCCCTGCCTCTGAAGAGCAGAGCTGGGACCCTGGCCTATTTTCCATCTTTCAGGGGTCCAGGACCTTGTATTAGTATTGTTCCTCCCATTCATTCCTTTCCCAGAGCTCTGCTGGCTCGAGCCTGGCAGTTCTGCTCTGGTGCCTGCTTGGCCAAGGGCAGTCAGTAGCTGGGACAGGAGAGGGGGTGCATGCCTGCCTCTAGCACTCCCTGCTCCCCGCTGCAGGAGGAGGAGGGCTCAGCTCTGTGCGGGTGGGTGGGCTGGCAGCAGCACAGCGGGGTGAATGCCGCAGAGCAGACCAGTGCGCTGCAGGGCACGAGCTTGGGACCACGGATGCTGCAGGTAATGCATGCTTCCAGGTGTGATAGGGTGGTGGTGCCGAGGTGGAGCATGCAGCTCTAACCCTGCTAGTCCTGCTGGGTTTGCTGCTTACCCAGGTGTATAAGCAGCTGCTAGGGGCCATCTCTTTTCCATTCTGCACTGACAGCATAAGTGCCTGCCGTGTGCTTGCGGCATGTGTGCAAGGCATTGATAAGGAGACTTGTACACCTTTTCTGGCCCTCCCCAAGGCAGGGAACAGAGGGTCAGTTTAATGTGTAGGAGAAGGCGCAGGATGGGATGGTGACAGCCCATGGTGCATTGGAGGCTGGGAGCCGCAGATTTCTTGGTAT